ATACCAGAGAGAAGAGTTGATGACTGTCAGCAGACAGGGTGTTTAATATTATTATTACGACGTGTATAACTGTAGCCTTAGCTATAATATGTTCCTATGTTCAAGACACGACATGTACTAGAGGTCGTGAGAATGTTTTTAGTTACACACCACTTAACCAACAGACATACACATTCACACGTTGATTTGCTTCATGTTTTGACTACTGCTATGGCCAGCTGCAAAGCTGGTAACAGAGACATCCCGGTTGACATTTCTGTGTAGTATGGGGCTAGCCCAAACGAGGTGATATAATGTATAGGCCTGGTGGGCTCAGGGTCTTCCATCTTACATCTGCCTGCGTGCATGTTGGAGGTGCAAGATACTTGAGCGTGTAATGTTAATTTTACCTGTGATCCTTTGAATAAATCAGCACTGTTTTGACGTTACTTGGACTGCCTCATCTCTCAGAGTTAGCATGGTAAGACGGACCATATCCTACACTGATATACTTGAATAAACTCTGGCTTCAGTCTTTTAATAGTCAAACTTCATCTAACTCCTCGTAACTGATGTTTTAACTAAGTTAAGGAGGGATATTGTTCTTTAAAGAGTGAAACAGCAGAAAGACATTGAGCGGAGTAAAAGTCTATTCAAACCACGTCCTATGTAAATCAGGCATTAAATGACAAAAAGAATAAAACTGTCAAGTTAGGTTTTCATTTATCACACCTTATGCTCCGCTATTCTGTAAACCACAGAGTAAAATTAGAAAAACATGAAATATACAAGGACACAGATCATATTCTTACAAGATAAATGTGAGCTACATACCAGAAACTCGTCCCGAATGAAGTACTTTGCCCTTGTAACGCGGGGATCTTCACCTGACTCTGGTATTGCTGTTGGAGAAAAAAAACATTATCTGGTCACATTTAAATCCCTTTTACACTCTACAACAGGCCATATCAGCTAGAGGAGCTATAACCAGTAAAGCTAGCACTAATGACAATTCCTTTTAGGAAATGCTTGACATACCACATTACAGTGTAAATACTTGTTATAAACTAATTGATGATTAGTTGTGAGATTTCACAAAATTGGTTTCAGGGCCCAAATAATAGAGAATACCTGCATCTGACAGTGGTAGTTGGCCATTGTTTCGTCAGCTATGATAACACTGTACTCATTTAAGTAAGTACAGAGATCTGAGAAAACAGCAGCATCACTACAATGAAATCCCATGGTGCAAGAAATATGAGCAGACAGACACGCACATGGGTTGTGAAAAGGCAGCGGCTCATCCAGATGATGTTAAACATTTTAGTTGGAGGTAAAATCAAAGGTGCACAAACATAAAATGGCAGTAATAATTCCTCATTGCGCAGGAAAACTGCATGTACACAGCTACAGCAGTATCAGGTCGAAGTTAAAGCAGAAGGTTGGACTGTAAATTGTGATGGATGTTCTCAACACCCAGTGTGGCAATACGTTTTATGTTTTATCTGACAAATAAGTGCCACTTCCAATAACTTAATTTAAAACCTGGACGGCTGCTCGTGTTTCTTGCGCCGTCTCCTCATTCTGAGATCTCAGTAACAAAGTTGGTGAGTACAATGTTATCATGGCCTTGAATACCTGTGAAAACAGGATCTAAGCAGCTGTAATAAACAAGAATGATCCTTTAAGCTAATTGTAGTTTTCTGTATCTGTAGGCTTAGGCTTTGTTAAAATAGAGCTAAATGGTTTTTAATCCTCAGTGTAATCTACTTTTTAAAAGTATTCTGACTCAATGTAGCTCATCTTCTGTGGGTAGTAATAAAGCACTCTAGCAATCTCTGTCTTAAACCATTTGCATTTGTCCCTTACACATAAAACAGAATGTATCGGACACCCACAGACATCACTGTCAACCTCTTACCATCATCAGGTGTAGTGTAGCGTGCAAACTCTGGGAAATACTCCTCAATTTTAGATTTCCCTGCCAAAACCTTCTCAGCAAGCAGGTCCTGTTTGTTCAGGAAGAGGATTACAGAAATGGTCCGTAACCACCTGTGGAGGGAAATGAAGAACGAGTTCAGTGCCAGATTCCTTTGGACTTTCATTAAGGACCCAAAAAAGATTTCAGGCCTGCTGTGGGAGAGTCCATGCTTTTCAGGTGGTGCTATGTTTTATTAGGCTTTGCCTAAAGAACATGAGAATAATCTACCCTCTGGAGCTCTGGGCTGAAAAGGCTAAAGAACTTGCCATGAACAGGCCATATGCTGTCACAGGGGAGAGAAGACTCAAAGAAGGAAGATCTTCTCCCGCTGTACAAACTGTAAAAACTTTGACATGTAAACTTGGTGAAGTTCCTTAAAACTCAACATAAATATCTCCCTCTTTGAGCAAAGAAACATACTTTTGAAAGACTATCTAAACAGGGAGAAATAAACAGTCCTGAAAAAAAAAAAATCTAAAATAGATATCGGATCTGAGTGAGATCTGAAAAAAATTGTTGCTGAAGAGCCGGATGTGGCTCATGAGCCATAATTTGGCTTCTGGGGACCTCGGCTGAGCTTATCACATGTTGGGCGGGTGTCCATGCATGCTCGTCTTCATAGTGACATTAGAAAATGCACTAGAGTTTGTCATAGGCAATGAAAGCGGATGCTGAAGTGACAACAGTAATTCTCTCTTTATCACTGCATCACTTTCTACATTTCACCGGTTCCGTTTGCCAGAGATTGACTGACACTGACAGGGTTACCGGCAAAGACCACGTGTCCCACAAAAAAGCAACTTGTATTAACAGGGTTAGTGTAGTACATAGCAGTGGAAGCTGTCATTAATGAGGTCTTATCATTACAACATGCATGACCACAAGCATTAGAAACCATTAAATATTTTCCGAGGACTGCTCCAACCATCTTTCATTGCAATAAGTAAATGACCAGTGATACATTCAGACATTCAGTAACACTTTGCAATTGTCCCATATAAGTACTGTGCAATTGTATGAGTTCATGTATTGTTGGACTAATATTTGTGTCATTGTCCAATTGTCATCAAGTGATGAGAAAATAAACCAAACATCAGGGGAACTTTTTCTTCTTCTGCAGCTGCAAGGTTATAAGTACGCAAGATTGGGACTGAACTGCTGTTATATAGTAATCGATTTATAGTAATCGAAGAGTAGAAACACATTTGTTGGTGTATGGAGCTTTTTGTGTGTAGCTTTTGAATTTGCTGGACAAACTGTGACATTAACATAAAAAAATGCAATACTGTAGGAAAAAGTGCTGCTTGTTTCATGTTTATTACCAATTCCAGAAAGACATCTGAAGTTCAGGATGCTGACCTGTTGTTCCAAATGTTTTTGAAAAGGTTGAGGGCCTCCTGTAGCCTGTTGGTCTGATTGTCTTCTCTGATCACCATGTTGTAACTGCTACTCGCCACCACGAAGATGATAGCTGTCACATCTGTATCCCACACACACAATCAGGTTTAACAAAGCAACAATGGACCAAACTACCAAAACACTCAGATACATGTACCACATCATACCTTGGAATTTTAATAAATAAACTGATATGACAAACCCAGAAACAACTGTCTAGACACAAATAAATAATAAAATCCTGAGTCAAATCAAATTATTAATTCATTATTTTAATAATTATTTTACACTATGTACACACTTCAGAGTTTCATCACTACAAAAAAAAGCAACAAGCATCCTACCGTTAAAACACTGGATCCATTTTCTTCGTTCATCTCTCTGACCTCCAACATCGAACATACTGTAAGAATGAGGAAGTTTAAAGTTTCATTTACACTGACAAGACTTTCCCTGTTAGGGCAGAGATGCACCATGCCGACATCAAAGAACTAGCCACGATGAAGGCCGACAGCTGCGCCAACTCATGTTGCCTTTTGTCTGGACCAGTCAGGTCAAAAAAGTGGCACTAGAACACATAGCAAAGACTACAGTCAACAGCCAAATAGCACGCATGTTCTGTGCCTGCATGAGCGCAGGTGGAGGTGACCAGCAGGTGGCAGTAGTCTGTATTTGTCATTCAAAGGAAAAGAGGAAGACGTAGGACTGTGGCCATACAAACCGTAAACAAAGCAGCTCTCGCTCACCACTGATGGTTTCTAGCTACCTCTAATTAAGAATATATCTGGTAAGAAGTTGCAAATGGCACTGGCATTGTCAGCCCTTGGACTTTTGGTCGTGGAAGCAAAAAATAAGAAGACACTGCACTAAATGGTTGAAATCATGGATCCTACAATGAAAGGCTCAAGGGGCCTTCCTGAACCTTTCCCTTCTCGTGTACTGATTCGCTAAGCTGAAAAGACTGATGGTTGGCCATCGGTGAGTGTCTGTCACCCTAGTTTTTGCGGTACATCCCACAACGTTGGCACTAATGGGATTCTACCAGTGGCTTTTCTACTGATTCAGCATGTTGCATCAGCAGTGGACCTCAGACATGAGGCGACGCAACAGTCGGCCTTCGTTATGGCTAGTTCTTTGACGTCGGCTTGGTGTGTCTCTGCCAATGAACAGTTATAACAAGGATGTTAATCACATGACAGAAAAGTGAAGGAAATGCCTTCTCAATAAAAAAAAAAACATTCTGTGGAAAGTTTATTATAATCCAATATGAAATCAGTTTGTAAGCAGGAAGTTAAAATTGCTTCTTATCCTATAGAATTTCTGTAATCTATTTGGATGTTTATGCTAAAAAAAAAACCTTCTGATACTTCTCTTTAATCTGTTGATATACTGGCCTTTTTGTGGACAATTTATTTTAAAATAAATCAAAACAGATGTTATCTTAACTCACTGGAAATTGACTTTGTCTATTTGAAATCTTGTCTCGAAGATCCCAGATGTCAGTACTCTGCATCTCAAAAGGTCCTGGAGAACAGAGGAGGAATGGGAGAGTATAAGGATGGTGGTGTAGAAGATTAAGGGGAGGACGTGAAAGGAAATCCAAAGAGGAGACAAAGAACAAGGAGGATAACGCACGAGGTGTGAATTCAGGTGCAAGGTAATAAAATGATTAATGGGTGAAATTAAACCTTTAAACCTAGACTGCTCATCTACAGACCGAGCATGCAAACAAGTTATTTTTTTGAGCAAAATTGCGAAAAACTATCCAGTTACAGCTGTTCAACTGAGGATTTGCTTCTTTTCTTTGAGTATGATAGTAAATTGTTTATGAATTATAAATGATTTTTATTACTGAATAATCAGTAAATTAATTTTTTATTTTGTGGATTTAATGTTAAATTATGTGAATATGATGTGAGAAAACTGTGAAAAATGATCAGGCAACTTTCCAGAGCTGAGCTTGATTTGTACAACTTAGTTCCAACTCTGGTCTGACTTATGATATAAAACAAAAAAGAAAGAGAAAAGGACAATCAGCTCGTTTGTTTGATATACGATTAATTTACTGCCTGTCAACTAAACAATTAAGTTACACCACAGAGCACAAATGTAGGTAGAGATGTGTTAATGATGCAGAGTACTTCAACAGAACACACTGCAGGTGTTTGTGTTGCACATCTCACCTGATCAGTGGGTGTGTAATCATTCTGCCGGACCACATCAATCCTGTCTAAGAAGCTGGAAAAAAAAAAAGTATAGATAAATACAGCCAGTTAGATCTCAGCTGCTATCCTGCAGGTGAATTAAAAGACATAATAACACAATAAAACGATAAGATTCTATATTCACAATGTACAGTAAAAGCTCAGCAATCAAAGCAAATATACTGTAAATAGGCTACTGACCAATCTACAGCATATTGCTGTGTTTGTTCATAGTGAAAACACATGTGATAGTACATTAGTGAAAGCAGGACAAAGATGGAGGCCGACAGGCCCTGAATGGCCACTAGGGGGCATGTGTTTGAATTCACAGTGAGATCAGAGGCAGCTGTCTGAGTCACCAGTAGCTCTGCTCCTCAATGGAGCTGCTGTAATACTACTTGCACAGGAGGAGAGGTGGATGTGGGCGTGTGTGTGTGTGTGTGTGTACATCTGTGAGCGGTGGCAGTGTGTATGGGTGGGTATGCGGGCCTTCAGTGTCCTCAGTTTAACAGATATGAATTGCTTTGATGAGCTGCCCTACATTGCTTCACTTCTTTGAGGTGTGTCAGTTGCCCTGATATTTTCATGATGACTGTATCCAGGTCATCTGCTGGAGACGTCTGCTGCAACAAGCCAGGACCTCAAACAGGCCTCAAGAAAGACTACAGATACTTACATGTGCATCAGTTCAGGAAACAAAACTGTTTCCTTTGTGTATCCCAGACTGAAGAAATTTAAGAGCCTCTGTTAAAAAGAGAGTAAAACTTCCTCATTTACATGGGCTCCTGCCAAACTTAGGACAGAACAAATGTGAGCTGCCGGACAAACCTCTGACACACACACACACACACACACACACACACACACACACACACACACACAAGAAAAAGATGCTGCTGTCCTGAGAGTACTTTCAATGTATAGAAGAAATATTATGTAGAAAGAGGAACAGGAGTGGCTCTGCTCCAGGTTGAACTCAGGCCACTGCGGCTCAGTGATTATCTTGAAGCTACAGCAGCAACTATCTAAAGTGTCCTGCTAGTCTGCACTCATCGGGCACCGGTACTGCAGGTCCCCACATTTCCTCTACAGGGTGAAGTAACAGCACATTAGCAGTAAAGGAATCATCTGCAGAACATCTACTGTACAACTGCTACATCTCAAAGCATACCAGGAGGAAAGAAGTCAACTATGCGCAGCAGATGATAAACTTCACCAGCTCATGATGACTTACACTAGTCACCAAGTTAATGTCATCTGAATTAACAAATCACTGATTTGCTCCTGTCCTTAAACATCTGTGCTGAAATCTCTTGTATAAGAGACCCTGTTAAAACCAGTGTTTTTGCCTCAGGTGTGAACATTATATATTAAACAATAAAGTCTAATTTGGTTCAATTCAGTTTGCTCCAATACTGTCACGTCTCAAACATTTGCCATGTGAACACCTTTTAAATGACTTTTATTTACTTTCCAAGCTTATTAAAGATGTTTTTTCCCCTGAATTAAATTTAAATTTAAGAACTACTATTCAAATAATTTGGGTTATAGATTGGATGATTATAACCAGTGACAGCTCAAACACAACCTTCATAAAAAAATCCCACTCAATTATACTTTTGAGATAAGATAGAGCACTTTAGAGTTTTGCAGGTGAGCACTTGAGGGTCAGGACCCCCGCTATGGTCTGCAAGATAAATCTGAAGGGACAACATGATTAGAAGAAAAAAGTGTTATGTGTATGTCGGTAAGTAGGCTTCTTAACACAGCAGCAAATCTAAGCAATTTCTATGACCCCAAATCAGAAAAACCTATGTATAGTAGGTAAAATCAAAACCATCTATGTTCTGTATTACATTGAAAACAATGCTGCAGCACATTGTTTGATATGAGACTTCATCAATTTTATTCTTTGTTCAAAATAAACACTTCAATTCTGATGCCTGCAACACATTCCAAAAAGGTTGGGACAGTAAAACATTTATCACGGTGTGATGTTGCCGTTCCTTTTCACAATACTTAAAACATGTTTGACTGAGGACACCAAGTGATTAAGTGTGTCAGGTGTCATTTTGTCCCATTCTTCCTGCAAGTCTTAAGGTGCACAACACTCCTGGGTCTTCATTGATGCAATTTGCATTTCAAAATGGACTGCACATTCTCTACTGGGGACAGGATGGGACTGCCGGCAGGCCAGTCCAGCACTCGCCCCGGTTTCCTCTGCTGCCAGGCCTTGGTAATGTGTGTGGTATGAGGTTTTGCATTCTGAAAATGTGCATGGTCATTGAAAAGGTGTCGCCTTGAAGGCAGCATATGTTGCTCCAAAATCTCTCTGTATTTTTCAGTATTAATGGAGCCATCACAGAAGTGTTAGCTGTCTTTGCCAAGGGCATGGACACAACCCCAGACCATGACAGACCCTGGCTTTGAGGGGTTCTTCCTGAAGTCTACTATTATTTCTTCTGTCTTATTTATGTTGAGGATGAAGTCATTCTCCTCTCCATAAACAAAAATGTCGGTCACCAAGCTTCTGTAGCCCGACTCGTCTCCCCCCTTGATGAGGCCCAGAATGGTGGTGTCATCAGCATATTTAATGATGATGGTGTTGTCATGGTTGGAGACACAGTCGTGAGTGTACAGGGTGAAGAGTTTGGGGCTGAGACAGCAGCCCTGCGGTGAGCCTGTGCTGATTGTGAGCTCAGCAGACACCAGCCCTCCCATTCTGACCACCTGTGGTCTTTCAGTCAGGAAGTCCAGAATCCAGTTACAGGTGGGAGTTGGGACACCGAGGTCTGTCATCTTCCCAATCAGGCTGCCCGGGCGAATGGTGTTGAATGCAGAACTATAATCCAGGAAGAGCATCTTAGCATACGTACTGCTGTTGTCCAGGTGTTTCAGGGTATGGAATAAAGCCAGAGCCATCGCATCGTCCCCTGATCTGTTGGGGCGGTAGGAAAACTGGAGGGGGTCTACAGTGTCTGTGTGTCTGTCTGTGGTTAATGTGTGTGAGGACCAGTTTCTCTAAGCACTTCATGGCGACTGATGTGAGCGCCACTGGCCTGAAGTCATTCAAAATGGATGTGTCTGATGCCTTAGGGACCAGTATGATAATGGATTTTTTTGAAAATGCGAGGAACTACTGCTTGGGTCAAAGACAGGTTGAAGATCGTCTGTATACACACTAGCTAGTTGATCCCCACAGGCTCTCAACACTCTGGGGGACACACCGTCTGGTCCAGCCGCCTTATGGGGGTTTACCTGTTTCAGGGCCTTCAGGACCTGTGTGTGCGCGCGTCACCTGAAAAGCAGTGTCCCCCGGGTCGCAGGGGGATCTTGAGGGGGTGTCTGTGTTTATCCTGTCAAACCTCGCACAGAAGTTGTTGAGGCTGTCTGGGAAGGCGGCATTCCGGGCTGGCTGCGTTTGTTGATTTGTTCCTGTAGTTTGTCACTGCCTGGATTCCCTGCCACATACTGCATTGTGTTGTTATTCATGTAGTAGCGCTCCAGTTTTTGGAAGTATGCTCTCTTTTGCAGCTCTGATGGACATCTGTAGCTCGTACTGGGCTTTCCTGTACTCTGCTTGGTCCCCTGACTTAAAAGCCTCTTGTCTCTTCCTGATTTTGTTTTATATCCCTATTAAACCATGGTTTTTGGTTGGGAAAAACATGCACCGTTCTAGCTGGTGTGCATATGGATGTGCACCAGCTGATGTAGTTACTCACAGTCTCTGCATATCCATGGATGTTGTCTGTGGCCCCTCTGAAGATGCTCCTGTCTGTGGCCTCTAGACAGGCATACACTACATTCACAATGATACATTGCAGCTCTCTAGGTAAATAAAATGTCCTTAGCTTTAGTGTTAAATATTCCACATCTTCAGAACAGAATTCAGAGAGAATCTTACAGTCTGTGCACCAGGACTGTTTGACGAAGGCGGCCGTTCCTCCCCTGCGGGCCTTGCCGCTTTCAGCGGCGCTTTCATCCCGTCTGAACACAGAGTAACCATCCAGAGTTACACCCTCATCGGGAGTCTCTTTTCCCAGCCATGTTTCACAAAAACACAGCAGGGAGCAGTTCTGTATGTCCTTCTGCGAGGTAATCCAAGCATGGAGTTCATCCAGTTTATTATCCAGAGACTGTACATTTGTGAACAGTATAGCAGGGAGGGCTAGCTGGGTAAGAGTCCAACGTGCTCGGGTCAAAATCTCCAAAAAGACTGCGCTCTCTTAGCAGTAACAAAGTCGCCCGGTCATAAATAAAGTTGCTGTTGCTTTAACACTAACAAGGTTGTAGATGATAATTGTTAAACTATTTAAAATGTAAGTCCATGATTCCAAAATAAATCCAAAATCTATAATTTTATAATTGCTAATCGTTGCTAAACTGAATGTGCTCCATCTGTCCACTGAGAATCAATCCCGGAATCCATATAAAATACACAGACACACAAGATAAGGCATGAACGCAGCTCAAATAATCAAATAACACATAAACAAACAAAACAAGGGAAAAGTAAAGTTGTGATAAAACTGCTCACAAAATCTGTATAGATGCAACCGTAACAATGAAGTGGTGCTGTATGCAGTAAACTGCTTTGTCTAAGGGTCTAAGGATTTTTTGCATTACAATTCATTATAGTGAACTGCCACTAATCTCAGAAAACACATACACTTACCTTTTTATAAGCTACTAGAAAGTGTGCAAATGTTTTAATAAGTACTAATTAGCATAGCAAAAGTCAATTATTAAAAATGAGGTGATTGGTACAACTATACTGATAACAAGACAAGATGAGTCAGGGCAGTGCTTACCAGCTCCATTTGCTTCCTGGGGAAGGTTTCCCAAGCTTAAAAGATGTCTGGCTACCTGCTAAAGTGGCTGCTAACATGGACCAATCCACTGATATCCCACCCTGTTTGATTCCTGCACGGCTGGCTGTTTTGACTGATCGTCTGCCCACTCTTACAACTAGAAAGGGAAGACACTTGCAAATAGCTGCCTCTTGGAGCAAAGGTATGTAACCCCCTCAGAGAT